CCCGGTCATTTCCCGGTTTTTTCTCGGTCAATTTAAATAATTTCCCGGTCAAATTTTTATGAACAATTTAACATTATCTTTTAACTATTAAGTTTTTTTTAAATAATTTTCTTTACGTTTTAAATAAGTATTCTGAATTTTGTAAACTTTTAAATATTATTAATTTAATTTATTTGAAATTTATAAATTAATATTTTATAAATCAACAAATCTTTGGTAGTTGATAGTGAGATCTTTTAACGTATAACATCTAGATTAAATGTAAATAAAAAATACATTAATTTCTTTTAGTCTGTAAAATATCTAGTTCTTCTTGAATTAACGTTGCTTTTTCTGTAGCATCTTTGAGAATTTTCCGTTTTTTTGCTTGAAGTGTCTTAATTTCCTCAGATTGTCGCTTCTTGTCTTCTTTCTCTTTTAATACTTTATCACTTTCCTTTCCTTTAGCTTTTTTAAATCACTGTAACGAGAGTAAGCATTACGAGCAGCATGAATTAAATTCTTAGTTATAGGCACTGAACTGACACCGCCAGCAGCATTAATGCTGTCATACGTCATTCTTGATCCAATAAGACTCTCTTCTTTCTGATTGACAACCAAGCATTCCTCGTTAACTGAAAATCCTCTTTCAAGCGTTGCATTGCTGTGAGCAAGAATCAAAATCATTTTTATGAACGCTGATAAGTCTGCACACGAATTTCCAGAGTCTGATAAAATTTTCATCCACAAATGATCTAGACGAGAATTTTTTCGATCAAAAGCCTTCATGGTTTTAATACTTCCAGGTAACTGGCAGATGGTTTTGTATTCAATCTTAATTTTGTCAGCTTTTGAACTAGCTATCCACTTAGTCTCTGTGCTCAGAATCTCTAAGCAAGACGAAAAACGTTTATTAGCAAGTGTAGGATGCTCGAGGATTAATGAAGGATCGAGTGAAGAAATAGCCTTAGTCAATTTATATTTAATGGGACTACGGTCCATGATTTTTTGAGTCATATAAAGGTAGCACTGACGACAGAATGTCTTGAAATTCGTTATTTCTTCAGGTTTTGTTCCCTTTTTCTGAAGAGAATCGAGAGCTCCCTTGGTTGCAAATCCAACATCTATATTCCGAGAAGCAAGCAAAATATTAGCGTCGTCTAAGTTTACATCCTTTACGTATTTAGCTTTCTCTAAGACCTCCGGTTTTATGAATCGCTCCATAATGTTCGTTGTCAAGAATGTAATATCTGTGTACAAACACGGTGCCAATGGAGAATCAGATTGAAACTCTTTGAGGAAAGGTTCAACTAAAGAAGAAGCAGACATAAAAAATTCCAACTTGGCTTCGATGAATTTGTCTTTGACATGTTGCGATACAATTTGAAAATTGCGATGACTTGAATTCAATGGATTTTTCTTGCCCTCTGCTTCTACATTCTTTCCTTGAAGAGACGATACAAGCAAGTCAAAAATTCATGTAGATCCCATCCTGTCTTTTTCATACCCTCCTTTAAACTTCCATGTACAACATGCAAACTACAGACGCCTATGTCTAAAAGAGTAGGATTGTCAGGACATTTTGATGCGATTTCCTTTTTCAGATCGCTAACCATACTCAGGTTGACTGCAGGACCGTCCATACACAATTGTATAATTTTCATCAAAAGCTCTTCTCCCAAAGCCATTGTCAATCCTTCTTTTAAGTCTTTAGCTTTTACACTTGTCAGAAACACCGATGAGAAGTACCTTACTTTACATTCATTTGCATCATCATCCCAAAATTTTACATATAGATCCATTTGACTTCTCTGAGCTACTTTATTTAAGCTTTCATCAAATCCGACGACAATGTGACTAGAAAATTTTATTTTTTCTTGGAGCTCCTTTTGAAAATAATAACCTAAACCATGAACGATAGTGTATGCTATTTTATCACGATGTAATCTCAATTTAGTTGCTACTTCACTATCTGGGAACATGATAGGAAAAATATCTACAGCGTGAGCAGCGCCACCAAATAATTTCTGCTTTAGTTATCTCATCCTGAATTAGATATTTGTGCATTGAATTCTGAATATTTTGTCAATTTGATTAAATAGATAATTTCATATTAATTTAACGTGTTCTGTTGAAAATTATTTTATAAACACTATGAATAAATTGAAACTTGCTAATAGCAAACAGCATTTGAATTATTTCTTCTTTAAATTGCTTTTTTATAGATATGTAGTTATATATGTATATATGTAAAACAAACAAAATCGATATAAAACATTATTTTTATAATAATATAATAACTTTTTAAATTATCAAAATTCAAAGGTTGTAAAAAAATGTCAAGTTTCTAACATCAAAATAATACTAATTAAATGAAATTATAGTATTCATGTTTGTTATAATTACTTCAATTTCACTCGACTACCCTCTTTATTATTACTAAATAATACTGATAAGTGTTTAAATATTTACATCACTTCACTGCTTTTCTAAATAGAAAAGAAATATATAATAAGCAACAAAAATGTGTATATACTTGCACGTTTCTGATCCTGTTCACGTTTTCAAAACATACCAGTCAAAACATTGCATTTGGTGTACGAAGAGTACTAAGTCCAGCAACTCTACCGATATAGTAGAAATTAAACCGACCATCTCAGGGTTATGACAGAGCAAGAACACGAATGGGGAACGAAAAAGTATGAAGCAGAAAGAGACAAAGATATTGTGTATACTACTGTGAATTAAACTTCTTTCTTCAGTTCAGTAAAATATTATGACATTATAACATACAATATTATGACATTAGTAATTATAAACCACAGTTATATTTGTGAAATTAGAACAAATTTATTTTTGATGAATTTAAAAAAAATGTTAAAAAATGAAAAAATTCGCGGTTTAGTAATGAATTTCACGGTTTTCCCGGTCACTTTTTGAAATCCCGGTCATTTCCCGGTTTCCCGGTCCACTCGCCATCCTGTTAAGGAAATTAAAAATTCAAGATTTGTTAAATGTAATCGTTAAATATTCTGGAAATTTAGAAGGAGCATAAATACGGAAACATAAAAAGAAAGTAATAATAAAAATGTTAGAGTCAATCTATTATATTTCGACTGAAGTCGTCGCTGACTAATTTTTAAAAATTATAATACTTTGCAGGAATGATTTTGAAGTTATCAAGATCACGAAATGAAAAGAATTTTATTAAAATTTTAATTATTTATTGCAAAATATGAATTTAAAGTTTATGAGGTGCTGAAAACTGTCAATTTTGTAGCCATTAGAAAAAATGCAAAAAAAAAAGAATTTACCATAAAAATAAAAAAAAATTGTTGTAATTTACTAAGAATGAATAAATTTATCATTATCAATTGATATAATTATTTAAATATGTGAAATAATATATAAAATATGATTTTCAAGTTCGCCTGTCGAATAACCTAAATTTGCAAATTTCATCTATTAAATGTGAGAAAGAGAAGTCATTAAATTGAAAAAAACCTTACCAAATATAAAGTACCTGTGACTAACTTTTAGTTTTTCTTAGCACTTTTTTCCTTTTTTCTTCATAAATGTGAAATAAAAAGCAATAAAAATTGGCACTTTGCTTATTTTCACTATTTGCAAATGTAAATAACTTTCTTGGAGAAAACTGAAAAATTACAAAACTTGGGCAATATCTAATTGATCACTAAATACACAAACTGGAAAAAAATTCGCTTTGGTCCCGAAGATACTTTTTGAGATAATTAAGTTTAAACTTTTCACAATTTTTATCAGGTTAATACATGTAGTTTTTTAAGGACGAAGTTAAGTTTTATTGGTTAAACATTTTGAACTAACTTCAATTTTATAAAAATCACATGCATTAACCTGATAAAAATTGTGAAAAATTTAAACATAATTATCTCTAAAAGTATCTTCGGGACCAAAGCGAATTTTTTTCAAGTGTGTGTAGTTAGTGATCAATTAAATATTGCCCAAGTTTTGTAATTTTTCAGTTTTCTCCAAGAAAGTTATTTACATTTGCAAATAGTGAAAATAAGCAAAGTGCCAATTTTTATTGCTTTTTATTTCACATTTATGAAGAAAAAAGGAAAAAAGTGCTAAGAAAAACTAAAAGTTAGTCACAGGTACTTTATATTTGGTAAGGTTTTTTTCAATTTAATGACTTCTCTTTCTCACATTTAATAGATGAAATTTGCAAATTTAGGTTATTTGACAGGCGAACTTGAAAATCATATTTTATATATTATTTCACATATTTAAATAATTATATCAATTGATAATGATAAATTTATTCATTCTTAGTAAATTACAACAATTTTTTTTTTATTTTTATGGTAAATTCTTTTTTTTTGCATTTTTTCTAATGGCTACAAAATTGACAGTTTTCAGCACCTCATAAACTTTAAATTCATATTTTGCAATAAATAATTAAAAATTTAATAAAATTCTTTTCATTTCGTGATCTTGATAACTTCAAAATCATTCCTGCAAAGTATTATAATTTTTAAAAATTAGTCAGCGACGACTTCAGTCGAAATATAATGGATTGACCCTTTAAGAATTGAGTTTTTAAGATAATACAACACACTTAAGATAAATGTATAAACTTTAATTATTGAGATTATTAATAAATTGATACATAAAACTGGATGAAATTTTAGTGTACATAAAACGACTATTCGCTTGGCCCGTTAGAGCAATTCTGCCTCTTCTCACGAAGGCAGTGTTGCCAACTAAACTCAAACACGAAGACAGATGGAAATAAACAAACGAATACATTACACTCCTCCACACTTAATTTTCGAAATTCTCACAATTTTTTGAATTAAACTTTTGAACAGGTTTATGTATGCGCGTTGATCGTCTAAGTACTACAGAAGTTTTTGTCGTTATTGATGTTTCAGATCTCTCGAGAATGTCGTCTGACAATTTGATTTTACATGTTTTGATTTGATCCGAATGACACTTTACAATTTTTCCGTCGGTTTCACAGTTAAAAGTAACAGGACCTAATTGCTCAAGGATTTTTGCTCGACGCCAATTATTGTTTCGATAACCTTAATCATAACCACGTCGCCCTGATTAAACGCAATTTTTCTGTTACCTCGGAAATAATGCATTTGTTTGGCCTGCTTACATTCAACTTTTTCTCGCAGTTCGTTAGTTTCTCGAAAAATTGGTTTTATCGCATCAAACCTAGCACGCAGTTGTCTACCAATTTGTAATTCTGCTGGCGATAAATTTGTAGTACAATGTGGAGTCGCTCGATAAAAAAATAAAAATTTACATAGCGCATCATGACGCGATAATCCCTGTTTTAATAATAATTTAAACTTCGCTTTGAAAGTTCCTACGCCGTTTTCCGCAGCTCCATTTAACGCTGGATGATAGGGAGCAGTTCTAATGTGTAATATTTTATTGTTCTTGAGGAATCTTTCAAATAGCTCTGATGTAAAAGTTGGACCATTATCTGTGACCAATTTGTGGGGTAAACCCCAAACACTGAAATACTCTTTTAACTCGATAATAGTTTGCTCTGCCGTGATACTGATCATTTCTCTTACATCGAGCCATTTCGAATATGCGTCGACAATTACGAGGTACATAAATCCATTGATCGGTCCGCAAAAATCCGCATGCAGCCTATAACCTGGGCCTTTAGGCCATTTCCATACATTTAACAGTGTTTTCGGTGGATTTCCTCCCCCTTCAAGACACCATTTACAAGACTTAGTAATGTCCTCGATTTCGCTATCCATTTTTGGCCACCACATATATGACTTGCACTTCAAAATACTAATATTAGGATTTCAGTGAATAACAAAATGATTAGAAAAAAATATTTAATGTAAAAAATATTGATAAAAAGTTTCTCCCAATTTATAGCCCCTAAAACATAACCTTTAATTGTTTTTCTTAATCATAATATATGTAGTCGCATTCATTATGCTCAATTGATGCAGGATTTTATTATCTAATTGTAAATAACAATTGTAATTTAATTTGTAAACAATTGTAAATAACACTTGTTCCTGAACTACCAAGCCGAGTAGTCTTTCTGCTCCAACAGTTTTATTTATCTTTATTGAGAAAATTTTTTCTCGTTTAACATTTGCGGATCTAAATTTTCCTAAAATGAGAAAATTTCCAAAAAAAGAAATCCTAGAGGAAATGTTTCGAACTGGATGCATATATTTCACAGTTACTTTCATTTTAAGGGAATTAAATTTAAGTATCCAAAATATTAAAAATGAAGACTTAGAATGTTTAAAACAAAATTTGATGGTTCTTAGAAGTAAAACAAATGATAAATTTGCAAAAGAACACAGAATATTTTGTCCTTTTTGGTAGTAAGCAATTGCAAAAACTAATAAATCAAAAAAATTCCATTTCTTAACAGATTATGCTGTCGTTCTAAATCCATCTTTAATTTATAAATTTTAACATTATATTTGTAATCAACAATTCCAGAAACCATTCAATAACAAGTTTCAAGCAATTTTAGTAGATTTTGAACTTTTGGTTAGCCATATTGGATCCGCCATTTTGAATTTTTAAAATCTGATTTCGGATTCGTAATCAGCGACCACGAAAACCCCCGAATGACGGTTTTCAGACGAATCTGATCAATTTTTGAATATAATGTCCGCCATATTGGATCCGCCATTTTAAATTTTTAAAATCTGATTCCGGATTCGTAATCAGCGACCCCGAAAACCCCCGAGTAACGATTTTTAGGCTGATATTTTAACTTTTTAGACTTTTGACCAAAATTTTGCCTTCCTGGCCCACTGTGCATATGCGAATTTCCCCGTTTGATTTTAAAACTGGCACTATAGGAGTTGCCCATTCAGCGCTTTCAACTGGCTGTAAAATTTTCTTTTCGACTAACCTGTCAATTTCTTTTTCAATTCCGGTACACATCGCATATGGTACCGGTCGTGCTTTACAAAACACTGGCTTAGCATTCGCTTTTAACTTTAGCGAAAATTTTCCAGAGATATATTTACCTCCTTCTTCTGACAATACATCTTTAAATTCGTTGACAATTTCGAAAGCTTGACTGGTTTCTTGTTTAATAGAGCCTATCGTTAACATCGATTTATCATTTTTAATCAATTTCAGAGCATACAACCACTCACGACCCACAATCGGAATTTTCTTTCCCGGAAATACAAATAAATCCAATTTTAAATTTTTCGCGCGATTGTTAACATTAACCTCTAATTTACCGATGGGAACAAGCATATCATTTGCATATGTTTTAATTTTTCTGACCGTTTCTAAAAGTTTAATTTTTGACAAATGTTTTGATTCCTTTCAATCATTACTTGATATTGCGGAAATCGGTGACCCTGTGTCAACTTCGAACTTCATCGGCACATTTTCAACAGTAAAAATTTCAACAATAGGGTTTACATTACTCTGATTTTTCTGTGGTTCATTAACTTTAAAAATTTGATCGAAACTGTCAGTAAAATCATCGTTGACTTCTGAAACAAAATTTTGTTTTTCAAAATTTTTACTAAATTACATTTTTTTGAAATTTAACTTTACATACTGTCGCTAAGTGTCCAATTTTACCACAAATATTTATTTTTATTGTTATTGTTTTCCACAACAATAACAATTCACTTTATTATTATTACCTTTATTGTCATCTCGCTGATTCGTCGTTACCTTTCTGTTGTCGCCCGTGACGTAGTTGACTGTCGAACTTCTCGTAGATGTTTTCATCTCTGCCACATCTCTGCTTGCTGATTCCAACGAAGTTGCCAATTCAATCGCCCTGTTGTATGACAGATCCTTTTCACCAAGTAGTCGTTTCTGAATTGATTCATTTGAAATTCCCCAGACCAGCTGATCGCGTAGACTGTCTTCCAAATTCGCAATTCAGCGATAATCTTTTGAGATTTGCGATAAATTTCTTCACATTCTCGCCATCTTTCTGTTTGCACTCCTTGAATTTGTACCTCTCGAAAATAATGCTAGGTTTTGGTTGTAAATGGTCCGCTATAACCTTTAATAGTTCCTCCAACGTCCTTGTAGATGACGCTGTAGGCATGCACAAATTCCTTAAAAGAGCGTACCCCTCCGCCGCGATGAGCGTCAGGAACAATGAAACCTTTTTTTCATCCGAAACGTCGATCGCCACGAAATAATGATGGAGCCTTTCCGACCATAAGTCCCAATCATCGTTTAGCGAAAATTCTGTGATACTACCAATGACTATTGGTGATCGTCTCTTGCCACAAGGATCCTTCTGTTGACTTACTGGCTAAACTGGCATTTGTTCTCATCTCATTGACTCTTTGACTTTCTTTAGCCAAGTTCTGTCGTTCCACCATTAACTGCTTCTTCTCTTTTTCAAATTCACTTTGCGATTTCAACCATTCCTTTTGTTGAGCCTCCAGTTCTTTTATTTTATCTTTTAATTTTTGATCCGACATTTTTTTTTACGCACGCCACGCGGTCAAATTTTCACTGATTTAAATTGTTTTAATCCTCGTCGCCAATTGTTAAGAATTGAGTTTTAAAGATAACACAACACATTTAAAATAAATGTATAAACTTTAATTATTGAGATTATTAATAAACTAGCAACTTTGTCGTCCGCAAGCGGCCGACTACGTTGCTAGTGTGCATTAACCATATTTTTTATTCTTTTATTTTCAAAAAAATTTAATATTAGAAATGTAAAAAAAATTTCTTTTATTGGATCTACCACCCAAATAGCAAGGAATATTGCTCGAATGTCAAGCTGATATCAAGCGGCAATATTTTTGTGACATTCAGGCGATATCATAATGTCCTCTTCACGGGGACATTCTTCGGTGATGAATCTATATGATCTATGTGACGGCCTTTCACACAAAAAATGTAACGCATTACAAAACTTACATTCTACATTTATTAAACCTAAATAATTCTGTGGAACTTTACTTTCATTGAAATCTTTAAAAGACATTATTGCAACTCCTGCAGTTTTTTTATTCCAATTATTGTTTTTACATGCCAAATTCTTTTCTTGACGCACTTTCTTTTCATCTTCCGTTTCCGTAGAAAATTTTTTCTTCTTACATGACAAATTATTTTCTTGACGCACTTTCTTTTCATCTTGAGTTTCCATTGATATTTTGCTTTTCCTACATGCCAAATTTTTATCCTTGCGTATTTTCTTTTCATCTTCAGTTTTTATAGATAATTTCTTTTTTTTTGCATGTCAAATTTTTTTTTGCGCTCTTTCTTTTTTATATCTGTTTTACTACGATTACGTTTTCTCAATCTCTCATTCTCCTGTCTTATTATTTTCTACTCATATGTAACTTCGCGCCTTGCCTCCCTTTTTCTTCCCTTCTCTTTAATTGCTCGAATTATCTTTTTATCATTTTCTTTACTCAGAAAATTCTTCATTTTTAAATATTCATGTGGTGAAATTTTGTTCACATTATTATCAGTTGTACAAATTATTTTCTTTTCACTAGTGTCATTTAGAGAATGTTTAATTTTTAAATATTGTGTTAATAGAACTCTGTTAATATTATTACTGTGCAAAGTATTAAAAACAGAACAAGAGTTTAAAATATAATTTTTATGTTCCTAAGTTCAATTTATGAAAAGACGGTTGTAATTATTCTCTATTATCGAATTCCTATTGTGAGACGTTCTTACTGACAGAAAATGATTTAAGCGATTATTTTCAAACATTGACTTAAAATGGTTTCTCATTTTGTTATTATCAGTTTCATAATTTATACGGTTTGGCATTACGTTAAATAATACAGATGTTGCAAATGCTATTGCATATACTCCACACTAAACACTACCAAAAAGTTGTTGATTAACAGCTTCAAAAACTACTGTTGGTTTAAAAGGGAACAATCTAATTAAACATTTTATTTGATGCACATTTAAACACCCCTCATTAAGGCTATCAAAAATATAAAGCCTTACTCTATCGTAATAAACATAAATTCAGTGACCATAATTGTTATTACCGCTAAAAAGTATATGAAAATGTCTATCACCTTCTCTAATTGGGACAATAAAATCAAGCATTTGTACATACAAAGTACTTTGCACATTGAAAAATAAATTGGAATCTTTTCTTAATAATTCTTCAAATTTGTACATATGCATGTAATTTAACAATTTATTTCTATTTTCAATAATTTTTAAATCTTTATCACTTAAAATAACATACTCTTTTATGTTGGCCATAGTATACTTCGTTTAATTTTATTTTTGATTGATGAAAATCTAAATATCTTTAACCCTTTTGCTCACTCTCTCTAATATAACCAATTTTGTCTTTAATTCAATACAACCAATTTTACCTTTTATTAAAAATAAGCAATTTTTCCTTTAATTCAATACAATTAATTTTACCTTTTACTAAATATAACCAATTTTGCCTTTAATCCAATATAACCAATTTTGCCTTTTATCCAATAAAACTACCAAATATCCAAAAGAATGAGAAAACTATGAGTAACTATGAATCAGTAACTACTGATCAGCCAATAAGTGCAAAAAGGACACTCTTATATGAGTAATCAGTAGTTCATTACAAATAACATATATACGTATTTATACCTGTATTAAAACCCCGGAACAAATACCACAAAAAAACCAACCATTGGACAATAGAACCTATGTAAATGGGGATTAACTCTGAGGACCCAGGTAATAATTTCTTTTATCACATTTATTATATAGAAAAATAAAGATGTACCAACCCTTGGCCAATAGAACCTTTGTTAATGAAGATTAACTCTGAGTACATAATGAAATGTACAGTAGGTTTACATTGACATCGGCAAGTCCGACGTCTCGAAATTTTTTCCGTGTATTATCACAAGGAAATATAAAGATAAAAGTCAAAAACTGAAGAGGTAATGTATATCTTTCTTTCTCACATCAAGGAATATAACATATAATTTTCATTTAATATTGCATTTCTCTATCTAGAGGATTCAAAATAACATAAGAATATCTTCGCCTAAAAATCTTACTCTTCTTTCTTTCTGTTTTCAAAATAAGAAAAATATGTATATACCAGTATTAGACTCTCAGAACAATTACCACAAACAATACCAATCCTTGGACAATAGAGCCTTTGTTAATGAAAATTAATTCTGAGGGGCCAGGTAATAATTTTTAAATTTTTTATTAAAATTTTCTGGGGCTCTAATATAGGTAGGGGAGAGTGATATACAGTGGGACAGTTTAAACAGTAGGTCACTTTAATTTTCTGAAAAACTACTAAAGAAACTCGACCAAAATTTAAATGTATAACCATGTTTATGACAACACACTATCTATACGCATGCGCATTTATACTTACACAGCGACTAAAAATGTGATTTTTTTATGTTAAAAAACATTAAAAAATTCAAAATTTATAATTATTACAATTATTGTTCGGCAACATTTGAAAAATAACACTTGATAAGAGAACGACTATTCAAATTTTCCTCCAAATTGTTTTTATGTTATGACCAAATTATGACGTATAATCAGCAGTACTGTAAACGTAAAAAAAAATAATAACAATTTTTTATATGAAACTTGACATCGTATTATAAAAATGTAAAATATTATTAAAATATAAGTGTTTTGCAACATTTGTTGACGTTATTTAATGCAAAACATATATATTTATAAAGTATGAAGCAGAATATTATTATTGAAACAAATATTCATTATTTAATAATAGGTGTCCCACTGTTTAACACAAACCTTGAAAAGAAGAAAAATGTATCAAATTCCAAAAACTTGAAATTTTTCTATTTAATCACAATATAATTTAAATAGAATATATGCATTATGTGGAAAGGAGTTCAAATATGGTAATACCAAAAAGTGGACAAAAATATATAAAATTGAAAAAAAGTGATCTTATGCCATTTTGAATTGTCTAGATAGAGAAACGCAATGTTAAACGAAGAAGTACTTATGTTATATTCCTTGGTGTATGAAAGAAAGGTATGCGTTACCTATTCAGTTTTAGACTTTCTTTATAGTTTTTTCACGTGATAAAGGGAGAAAGAAATTATTACCTGGGTCCTCAGAGTTATTAGTTAATCCTCTTTAAAAGATTGCAGGTCAAGCGAACCCTTATTTGCAAAATAAAGATATATCTTTCTCTCTCCATAACTTGTTCTTTTCTCTGTCACCGAAAACCCAGCAGGGGTCCGGACGGAATGAATGAATGAATGAATGAATGAATGAATACCAAGATTATTATAGTTAATTGATACATAAAACTGGATGAAATTTTAGTGTACATAAAACGACTATTCGCTTGGCTCGTTAGAGCAATTCTGCCTCTTCTCACGAAGGCAGTGTTGCCAACTAAACTCAAACACGAAGACAGACGGAAATAAACGAACGAATACATTACCAAAAATTTATTAAATTTTTTAATAGTTATTATTATTTTATTTTTAATAATTAAATTAAAATAAAAAAATGGTCATCAAAGTATTAGTGAAACCATTTCTTCCAAAAAAGAATTTGTCTCAAATCGAATAAATAGAAAGACATCGGGCAGAAAAAAAAATTTCGACAAAAAAAAATTTTCGATCTCTGCTTATATACCAATCTAATGGCACCTCAACTGCGAGAAACAGTTATGATGTTCGCCCCCCCTGTGGCGTTGAGCGAACTAAAGTTCAGAGCTGAGCCATCAGCGCAGCGCGGGAACATTTGACAAAGAGCCTCGGCAAGCCCCATGCAAAAAATGCCCCTTTTTCGTACCTCGAATTTTAAAACTTTTTTTATGCCAAATGGTTACATATGATGACCCAATAATCCCTGTAAAATTTCAAGATGAGCATGTGCCCCCTTTCAAAAAATACAGGGGGTCAAAGGGGGCCATGTCCAAAATTAGAATATGCAATATAATCGAATAATAATGTTAAAAAAATTAGACCAATTGGTTCTCTTAAGATTTTCGTCTGCTGATTACGAATCTAAAGTCCGTTTTTAAAAATTCAAAATGGCGGATCCAATATGGCGGACGACATTTTTGAAAATCGATCCAATTGACTTGAAACTTGTTACTCGGGGGTTTTTGGGGCCGCTGATTACGAATATGATGTCCGTTTTTAAAAATTCAAAATGTCGGATCTAATATAACGAATAAAGGCAAGATTTAAGGGTAAATTCAGCTTGCAAAGGCTAGATGTAATAATTACAAAACCATCTAAAGTAAGATGTAATATTCCAATCAACAAAGATAAGAAGTAGTATCTCAACCAATGAAGGCAAGATGTAATCGACAACCCGATCAGCAAAGATAAGAGATAATAATCCAACCAACAAAGGTAAGATAAAGTTATCCAACCAATGAAGGCAAGATGTAATCGACAGCCCGATCAACAAAGATAAGGGATCCGACATTTTGAATTTTTAAAAACGGACATCATATTCGTAATTAGCGACC